ACTGTCCTACCCAAGTTGCTTTCCGGTAAACGCTTCGTTCAATGGACCCATCATCTCTTCGTCTCCGCAAGATGTCCAGAAATCGCAGTTTGTCGTTATTCTCCGTTTCACAAGTAAATCGTGGCGATGGACGTGCTTTGCAGAACAGCTACAATAGGTGCTCATGATTAGTATAAGAATCACAAACAATGAATGTGTCGTCCATGTAGCGATGGTAGCAGACAAAGCTCCGTGTTCAATTTTGGCAAGAAAAATGTCCGTCGCAACGCCGTCTGTTTGTCGATAGTATTTTCCCTCAAAGAGAAACTGTCTGTTAAACATGCAGCGTAATATTAACTCTTTGGTGCACGGCCAAGAAGTTCTACACCTCAATTTTGGAACATCTAACCAACAGTGGATATCATATCTAAACTAAGGACTGCTTTGAAGTACTCTACAGTGCGCCGAAAAGGTCGCCGAAAGGATTCAGGAAGCATTTGGATGGGTGCCACGTTTCATCAACGGAGTCGGCTCACTCCTTCACAGGCACAAACAAGCAAGCTGCATTTGGGAAATCGAGCGCACACAACTCGGTGGTTAGGCTGTAGCCCGATTCCCACACAAACAATATGCATACATCCATTATTTGAGCGCAACACGGTCACGAGGACCGTGCACCCCTTCCCCTCCAGCAAAGACCATCTGTCTCCTGGAACCAGTACAGACGAAATAGTGGGTAATACACAGGTAGGCACCTTGTCAACATGCATATCAAGCGCAGTCACACTAGGGATTTCAACCAACAGCCAATCACTTGAAGCGACGATATCAAGTAAAATAAACTAAATAATGCACACAGATATGGTGACACAACTCGTCACTGCTTGAGCATACAAAATGTATTAATTACCAACCAACCCGCGATAGGTTCAAAACGTCCAAAATTATATGTTAAGAAAATGCCACAAACGCAAAGATGTTATGGAGATCAACTAAAGTAGTTTAGGCGATGTAATTTAATATAAGATAGTTCCGGTAGACTTTATTAAGAGATAAAAAAGGATTAAGACAACATAGTAAACCCACCACCTGAAATAGACCCAGTATGCAAGCAAGCGATTAGTAATTCCAATCCAGTGAACCTAACAACGATGCGCCGGTTCTGCTTACGTTCTCTGCAGAACCCGTCGTCGTTTCGTTATTCACCCTGAGTAGATTCGCTCATGACTCACTAGGCCTTCCTGACTTAGACAGTCCCGACCGCATGTGCGACAGCACCATGCGCTCGATGTCGATGGAGTACAACCCATCGGCGCCTGCCGCTTCTCCTCAACATACATGACGGTTTTCTCCTGCACCTCGGCTACTGCCTTCGTGATCAGATAGCGCAGAGCACAAACACTTCATCACCAATGCTGAATCGCGGCAATATTGCAGATTGCACCTCCGGTGAAGGCTGAAAGAGACAGACAGTCTTGCTTGTGTTGATGGTGAGTCAGGATTTGGCTGCTGTCGAAACCAGAGCACTAGTCATGCGCTGCAACTCATTCGCGCTGGGTGCAAACAACAGTCGTCAGCGAATATATATATATGTATATATATATATATATATATATATATATTTACGGTTTCGGATTTGGCTGTCACTGTGGCCAGCCACAGGATGCCTGCGCCTACAGACGGACCATGGGTGGCTTGCACTGCACCGCTCACACACCTCATTTCCAATGTAAACCCGAAGGAATAAGACCGGGATTCATGTGGATGGGAGTCACGTTTCATCAACGGAGCCGGCCCACACTCCTTCACAGGCAAACACAAGCACGCTGTATTTGGGAATCAACCGCACACAAGGCGGTGGCTGGAGCGTAATCCGCTTCACAATGGTTGCACGGAACTACCCTTCGACCTTAGGATGGCCACAAGGACTGTGCACCCAGTCCGCTCTAGTAACGACCAACCGTCTCCTGGATCAAGTATTTCTAGCTGGCTTGTGCAAAAGTATTTTCCGTACCATACTTGGTTTTGACGATTGTCTCTGTTCCCCACCATGCTGCCTCAATGCAATAGTCCTGCTTCCTTTTACTGTCTTCACTAGCTGAGTTGTTGAAAGCGTTCAGAGAAGCTGACACTGCGGAAACGATCACAACTGAAGATGGAACAGCCTTTATCTCGAAGCGTTGTCGGACTGCGAGCAGCGAAACATCTGTAAAATAAGCATTCAGCTCGGAAAGCAGTGCAAAACCCACATCCACATCCCGAGCTACGAATAGTCTCTACTATTTTTATATCACTCATTTCTAGTGGGAGCTATGTGACTGTGATCGTCATTCCGTAAGTAACGCCTTTGTGAGAGCAGCTGGTCAAATTTCCAATTGACTGAAACACTACCATATGAACCGGTGACATCTGTCAACACTGCAGCATCACGCCAAAGGCGTGCATTGAAATCACCCGAAAGGATTAGCTGGTCACTCGTCGACACAACTCGTTTTACATAAGATGCTTGTGAGTAAAACTCATCCGTCATATTATCAGGATGACACATAGTGGCATCATTATGGTTTTCCTTGATCTGAAAACCGATTTCCACCCTGTTGGTCTAGCCAGTTTGTGGCACTGCTTGTCCTTGCTGATAGCGCTAACTAAACTGTCCATTCTCGAGACCGGGTAAGCGTTAACAGAAAGCTGTCTCTAGAGTTCCCTACGACAAGTAGTTTTCGCCCGTATGGCCCTATATCTCCTTTCCTCTTCAGCTGTGTGATCGAAATGGTCACGAATAATCCCGTTCCTTCAAACTCCTCTGTAACGGATGTACTTTCAGCTGACCGACTGACAAACCGTGAGTATGTGGACAACATAGCTCTCCTTGCGTTTGACGCAGTGGCTATGCAATCACTATTAGTGCCTAGAGCCTCACGCTTCGGTACGTGCTTTGCACCTTTAATGTGCAAGGTATTATTGTATGACTGGACCGATATATAACACTGGTTTTAGCTTTCAGCAAACAAACATTGGAAGTGATAGATCGGTTCAGGTAGTTTGGTAGCTGTATCACGTTTGGTAATCACATTAGTGTGTAAGTTACTTCGTGTATCATCAGAACCTGTGTGTCATTTCATAGATTCAAGCATCTAGGTATACGGTCGGATATCAGCCTGTAAGTGAAATGTAGGCTGTATAACGCTACGATACGGTCGGTGTTACTCTATGAATCAGGAATGTGGCCAGTTCTCAGTGAGAACATTAGAAATTTGGTCATGTTTGACTACCGGCGCTTACGGAGTATGACTCATATCTGTTCGAAACACCGGTAGAGCAATGCTCAGGTCCATCAGTAGGTTTTTGACAGTAAACCTTATGTTGTCTCATTAGAGTGTCCGTTGAACTTGAATCGCTTACGTTGGTTGGATCATATCCTCCGTATGCCGTCGACTGACTTCTTCGGCTTACATCGTACGCCGTGGCTGCACGAATTTGGGCGGAACCGCGAGGTGGTCAGTCGATGACGTGGCATGGAGAAATTGACTGGGAGATTTGGTTAGGCTAGGCCGTTGGGGGCTCCGGGACGTTCCATCGTGCTTAGTGTATTCAGTCATCCCTGCATTCGGTTTCTTGCATTAACCGCTAATTCTTGTTCCATCCGTTTATGGCTCTTTTTGCCTGTTTATGTTTTCTTTGTACTTCTTTCAACTTTATTTTATGGCGCTTCTGTTCAGTATTTTATGGCGACGTAAATCGTTGCAACTTGACCCACCGCACTTCGGTACCTGTACCATAGTTGTTCAACTGAACTGCACTTCTTAACCCTTTTGCCTTGAAATCCCACTTTAAAGGTTCCCAATTCGTCCTATCTGCACGCAACGCATTATAAAGTGATGGTGCAATAGTTCATTTTTATGCGTTTAACCATGTTGCGTGTGTCGAAGTATTATGCTGCGGGTTTAAGTCCGTGTTTGTGGTCTCTTTGCCGTCTACTTTTATACGAAAGTTTTTGAACAGCTCTATTGGGTATTAGAACGCATGAAAATATTAGCAACTATTGCAGAGTTGACTATTGGTCTGAGCACAGATCACGCTCCTGAATAGCTTTGAATTTTATTGAAATAGATTCTTTTGCAGATTACTCTGATGATATGGCAGAAGCGATTGCTTCTGACCAATGCTAGGAATCAGAATCTGGATCGGCTGATATGGGAGTCGATCTAGTCACTCCAGAGTTTATCTTAGTCCAATATTCAGGTTGAATGGATCACATCTTTACCGATCGATTTTGCACCACTCGTCTTCTTATTTCGTGTTTGTTGCATAATTGGATTGCTACTGTAAAAGGAGCGTTCTCCTTGAATCCGGCGCACTAAAATTACATCGTCTTTCCCCACATGACTTGTAGTGGAACTTTACTTTCAGACCAAGCTAACCCGAACCAAAGTTTAGAGGTGAATTTGTCACATTTGGTGAGCTGATCTCTCTTCAGCTCAAAGCGCTCGTTAATTGCTATTGAATTTGGCCGTACTGTTCTTTTTGGGTGTTGTGCACTCACTATCTGACCCGGGGTCGCAAGGACAATTAAGATGTCTCTATTTTCGGTACCAAGTTTCAGTTGATATACACATGTTTTTTTCCATGATGCCAGTCTTAAATCTGGACATCACGCATGTTGTTCATAAAACCTGGGCGATTGTATCGCAAATATTTGTTAGAATACATGCATGCTTTTCGTTGTCCTTTTTACAATGTGCTTTTTTGAATCTAGGGGCTGAAGGCATATTTTAGGACATTCCATGTTCTCCATCGACTTACCTTCTTTCGTCGTATTATCTAACATAATGTCTTCAAATTTAGTCCCTTATATTTGTCATTGGTATTTTGGGACTAAAAGCAGAATTGTTTCCAGAACGAAAAGATCGCATGCCGATGAGTTGAGGTATAGATCGTCCAGCTACTTCAATGTTGAGACCGGTGCCACCACCATTGTTTCCTTTACGATATCAACGCACCGTGTCTTGTTTCGGTTTCAGTTACGATGGTCCAGTTCGCATCATACGCCGAAGCCAAGATGAGATTATCAGCACTGAGTAAGTCATCGATGTTTGGGACCTTCGTGAATCAGTCGTGTAACGTCCTTTCGCTATTTCTCACCTTAGCTTACAAATCAGTACGCGTAAGTTATGCCACCGTCCGGTCATTTCACGTGTCCTCATCAGCCCCAAACATGTCCCAAAAACAACGCTATATGTGATCGATCGGTGACCAGTCGGTGGCCATTTGGTAGACTTCGCGTTATCACAGTGAGTTCAGAGTCATTTAGTTCTTCACACAGAGCGACAACTCGGTCTGTAAACGCATTTCAGTGGACTGATAACTTGTGGCTCATGATTATTGAGCTTGACTCATCGGAGTCGACTTAGTGACTATTGTACTCATGATTACGGGGTTTTGGATGTACTTCTAAAACAGATAGTCCACATGCCCAGAAAAGCGTTAGACTGTGGCTTTGACCTGTTTGGTCTCGTCAATGTCGTGCATCCATCGGCTCCATCAGGATGCGAACCTAGGACTATTAGTGGTTTGAACCGTCAGCCAGCGGCTTATGCCACTGGGTCACGGGGCAGCAGCGAACCGTCATGATTTGCAAGCTGACTGTGATCTAACGTGCCTACTCTTCCACTGCCATGCCAAGTTACGATGTTCTCTGACTTTCCAGTTACATCGGCTTACCTGGACGATGTCATTATGGGTTGCGCTCCAGAACACAGAGAACGCTTGGCCATAGTTCTTGAATTCATTTTCTGCTGACTGTTTTTTAAGAACACCTATTACAGTGTTATTCAAGGCATTATCTTAACCCAATATTTTTTAAAATAAGCTTTAAATTAAGCTTACTCCTTTGAAATTACTTGAACCAATCCGAGTTTACCTTAATTGTTTCAATGATAAAATCACATTTTAGCAACTCCCCTTAAAAGACGCTAGCAGAAAATGTGTCACCGTATCCATTATTATGCATTCCGGTTGAGACCATATAAATGCCAGCTCTTCCTTCTATCGACGGAATACCCTGTTTCATCTCTGATTCCAACGGCCAGCTTCTTGATCCAGAAAATATCCGAACTATCTGGCATATGTCAGCTCCCGGGGATCGTTTTCAACGACGGTTTCTATAGCTTCCGCTATCACAGCGTCTTCCTCCATCACTTCTCGGCATGCATGCACTGCTCAGTCAACTACTACCGCAAGACCTTCCCCGGTATGTGTCCCGCGTCTGTGACGACATTCATTTGCTTGGAATCCATGCTGTGTCCCGATCTACTGCTGACCGATTTCAACCAAGGTTTGTCGAACGCAATCGCTTTTGACACCTCCGTCTAGGGGATCGGAGCAGTTCTCTTACATCGCTTCCAAGATGGTTCTGCTAAAGGCGCCATGCATGCCTCACGTCCACTGACATCCGTGGAGAAGAACTGTATTCAGGTCGAGAAGAAAGCTTTGGACATCTTTTTCACTGTCAAGAAGCTCCACAAATTGTTGTGTGACTGGCATTTTACTTTGAGGACTGGTCACAAACCGCTGTTATCTATTTTCGGTTAAAGTAGGACATTCCGGCTTATTCAGCTAGCCGGTTTCACTGGTGAAGCAGCATACTACTCGGGTACGATTTCAAACTCCGATTCTGCTGCACTCAGAATTCCAGTCAAGCTGATGACTTTCCTCGGTCATCTCCAAACGCGCAGCTATAGAGGAAACAGTGATTGCCACTATTGCGGTCGAGCACGTCGTGCATCACCAAATTTCGCACACGATCCATAGTCTGTCTTTTAGCGCCGCTGACATTTGTCGCGTAACTGCTCAAGTCTGTATTCTTCGTCAAGCCATTACTCACTTCAGACGCACTGACCTATCACCGGTGTATCCGGATTGCTCAAGCAGTCATCGCAGCTCCGGAGTTCTGTCTCAGTCGTCGGTTTTTGCCTCATCACCGCTGACAGAGTGGTGATCCCAACCTACTTTCGTCAAGCCGTGCCCCGCAGTTCCATTTGCGCACCCTGGTACGAGCAATATGTAGGCAATTGCTCGCAGCTACGTTTGTTGGCCCGATACTGACTGTGACATTGAAGCATTTTTCACGTTGCTCTCGCTGTCAACAAACAGCCAAAATGCTGTCGTACCAAGCTCCATTTCGCTGGCAACTAACGGCGAAGGCTTTGTTCTGCGTACCTCGATTGCACTGATCCTTGTTAATGCCTACTCTAAGTTGCCTGATGTTGTGGCCGATAACCCTCTAACGAAAACCGCCACAGTGGCTTGTCTCCGGAGCCTTTTCAGTCTACACGGATTCCTGGTTACTGTTGTATCCGACAACGGGTCTCAGTTCATGTCGTTGCTGTTTGAGGAGTTGTGTTGCCATCACTACTTCGACCACCGCTCACCATCCTTCATTCACATTCCAATAGACAAAACCAACGGTTCGAGGACACTTTCAAGAGAGCGTTTTTGAATATTTAGGTGGAGGGAACCGTGGATTCATGTATCCAGACATTCCTATTCGCTCAATGGACAACGCCGAATTCATCATCTCCAGGAGTTCAATCATCCACTAAGGTATTGATGGATAGAAAGCAACGTACCACCCACGACGGACTCGTCCCCATTCCGAAGGCAACGGTTCCACCTGATGATTTCGCTAGTCGCAATGTTCTCATTGTTGGAACTCCCGTCTTCCTTCGCGACTATTGGCTTGGCCATATACACAAGATCGAAGCAATAAATAAATAAATAAACTTTTATTCTCGACCATGCGAGACACACCATTACAGGCATGATCATGTTTAGCTAACAGTGTGATCAATAACCTACAAAAGTACATGTTTGGCATAACAATATATGTAAGTGTATGGGTGTATATGCGTATGTAATTGTGTATGAATGTAGCTTGTGTCTTTGAATGTGCCGCAGCATTTTTGAATGTTTGTTGTCGTCAGGAATGTGAGCATAAGCGATTGATGTCCTTGGGTTGGATAGCACTTTCCGGATATCCACGGGCCAGTGACTTTATTTTGTGGCGAGTCACATCCGCCACGTCACAGTGTTGATAAACAGACATTTGTGGCTTTTTATAGGGAGAACGCTTGCCAGGCGAAAACCCACCACGTCCTGGAACACTGCCGCCGAACTATTTGCTGGAACGGATTAAACCCGAACCACCCAGCTGGCACCACGAGGAGGTTGTTCGGCTAGCCAGCCGGGTTGTAGACTGCATGACGTCTCTGTAGGGAATGACACATGGGTTCGTCATCACAACCAAATTCTACCACGACGCAAAGCGTCTCATACACGGGCCCAGAGCAGTTACTGCTGCACATCTTACTCGACACGTTCGGGATCAAAAGGGAACAACCGACATCCGTGTAAACTCACAAGCCAACATCTAGTTCCAACTATCATCGCCAGAGGACAGAGCGCATCCGCCGGGTACAAAAGCACTGCACGTGGACCCTCGTCAAAAACAGTATGCGCTATCATAAAGGAGAGTTGTTATGGACAACTCATGGTTCCACAAATCCTCTTACTGGCCGACTTTTATGTACCCCAATTATGCCACTCACGTTACTGTCGAGCGGTTACGCGATGCGCTTTGAGCGACAGCGTTATCTGCTAGCAATTATCTCTGTTCCACACAGCAGATATTGTTACCAAGTCGTCAATTGTGTGATCGTCTTAGGGATACCGTTGTTGTGTCGTCGTTACGTCACTCTCATAATCACCTTCGTTCCGCTACCAAGGGGAAACTACGCCACCCTCTCATGTCTTGAACACCAGGCTATACAGACCATGTACGCTTTTGACTTCAGCCGTAAAAGCGCTTCGCTGATGGTCATGGTTTTCTCTCTCGGGGTCGCTATTAGTTTGCGTTGTCTGTGTTGGTCTCGATCCATTAAGGAAGAGCCGATGGCCGACTAAATCACCCGGGATGCTTCGATTCGAATTCCACCAGCCACTTGTGCGCGCGTGACATTCCTCAAGAGCCGATTAGTTGTTCCAAGGACCCCAAGGGAGGAGTTTACTACACCTAGCTTCGGTGATGTTGGTTGACTGCTTGCGATACGTTGTCTCTCACTGTCTCCTTCCTTTTCTTAGCTATGGCTGCTGTCTCTTTCCATCACATCTTCCTGTGAAACAACTTTTAACGACGCCCCTAAATTTACCTGTTGATGGCGCTCTATCACGGAATTCGTATTTTACACTATCTCCGTGCAGCTCCCATCGCTGCCCATTTATTGCACACCGTCGTTATTAACTTTCAGCGATCCACCGTCTCACGAAAGCAACCGGGGAACTCATTTGCTGATAGCACTTTTGAAGCACAGGTCAGTTCTCATAAGTCATTTTCTCCCTATATATCCCTGCAATTCTTTCCGATTTGAAATGTCGTGCTTAGCTTTCATGTCACCTGTCGCACCTCCGCATTTGATTTGATTTGAGGTTGTTTGTGTCTTATTTACGCCTACGGCTGAGCGGCATTGTGCACGACCTATCGAGCGTAGTAGTCTCTTCCAAATTTTTTTCTTTTCTCGGTCTGATGTCAGAACGACATCTATCCTTTTGTAAGTCGCCGGTTTCCGGACCACGAGCGGTGTGCTTATTATTGGCCTATATGGACTCTTTGTCATTACATGTTTCTGTCAATGGTGCGTTGTATATTCCATCAGCAAATTGAATGACGCGATTTTCCCCTATTTCTATTCTTCGCTAATGAGATCAAATTCGTTGTTCCAACCACATTACAGCTGCCATTTTCACTTGATATTTCGACTGGCGGGAAAAACGTTGATCATTGTTCCGTATTCATTCTCGTCCTGATTGTGATGTCTAAGGTACGAATAAATAAATATTTTATTAATAATGAGTAGACGGATTTGGGTATGATTCGATTTGGTTCATCGCAATTAGCTTTCAGGCGGCCTAGGTATGTTATCAATCAGGAAAAGCACCAGACGCGTGTTTCGCCCTTTGCGGCTCGTCATTGCTGTGCATCTATCGATCTCCTACTGGGGATCGAACCCATGAGCGTTAGCGGATAACACCAACTAGCCAGCAGCTTATGCCACTGAGCCATAGGGGACGACAGCCGACCATTACGAATGGAAACCTAAGTGCGATATAGCCCGACCCATCATTCTCCACTGCCGTGCAGGTTATTGCCCGTGCAGATGACAGTGGTTGACCGTCACGGTCAGGTCTTCCCTTGCCAGTGCCGTGAATCCACACGGCAACTTTGAATACTGGTAGGGCTTAGCTTTTGATTAGTAATGAGTAGACGGATTCTCGAATTCATCGAGGCACACCAACTCAGGCATGATCAAACTTTAAAAGCAATTATGTTGCGCAACAGATACGTTACAATGCACGTAATTGGCTGTGGCCAAAAGTTGTACAAGTTGCAGAAACGGAAGAAGTACTCATGAGGAGCAAAATCGTCAGTGTGGGGACAAGGAACTGGATTCATGTGTGCCTAGACTAAACAGGAAAAGCGCAATAGGTGAACTGATGACAGTATGTAAAGACTGAATTTTTTAATGCGTGTCAATAAAATAGTGAAAAATGTCTCTAGTCAATAAACCACAGCAATTGTAGGCACTGGCGAGTCACATCCGCCAGAATCATCATGGTCGTCCTAAAACTTGCAACAGACCTTTCTGGAGGTCCGTCACTTGCTTCGTCTCTTTCTTTTTGAACGCGTTCTAACTGAAGAATGTTCGTTTCAATAATTTCCCAGACAGATACCTTACCGTACCTATGTATTGGCGACGGACGGTCGATTAGTTTTTCCGAGGATCGTCAGCGAGTACATTTCTCCGGCTTCTGCTGGATTGGTAACCATAGCCCGTGTGATTGAAAGTCAACGACTTGTGCCCTGAGTGACAGCGGCAGATCATCTTGATTGACTACTAACCGCTATGTATTTGGACACATCCTCACTGTTATACATGTTTCCTACGTTCAGTGAACCAAGTTGGCCAACAGAACTGTGAATTTTCTTACAAGTCGCTTCCATTCGAAGTGGCATGTAGGCTACTCGAGCGAGCACTACTTGTTGTAGAGCAGAAGAAGGTTTTCGAGGTTATTTTGGTGTACTATACTGCTGGAGCTGTTTGACATTTCGCTTGAAGCGAAACCCACTACCCATATATTTTGAAGTAAGTGATTTATGCCACTAGGCTTCAGGTAAATATAACAGTTCGCGAAACTATTCTTTCGAGTGTACATTCGTGCCTTCTCTTATTATTGTCTTTATTTCATGAGTCTTTTTCCGCATTGCAGTTTTTCTGAGAGCTTTCGCCATTAACACTAAAAATCTTTACCCATAAATATGAGTCATGTTTGATGACTCTATTCCCGGTTCGAACTTTCTGTTCGATTCTCGTACAACCGATAAGTTTACCATGCTCAGCGTAAACGATTTCGAATGTTCCACATTAGTCATCCCGAACATGTTGGCGAAACTAATGACATGCTTGATCTATTAAGGGGCAGATTATATTCGATTCCTATGGCCGTTACTTTCCATGGATTACAGGTTTCAGAGCTGTAGCCCGATCAGTAAAATTAGTCGTTTCTTCATGCTATATGTATATGGTTGGCGGCATCCGGTTTCGGATTTGTTTGTCACTGTGGCCAGCCACAGGACGCCTGCGCCTACAGAGAGACCATGGGTGACTTGCGCTGCACCACACACAACTCCAACCACACACCCCATATCCAGTGTAAACCCGAAGGAATAAGACCAGGAGGTATGTGAATGGAAGCCACGTTTCATCAACGGAGCCGGCCCACACTCCTTCATAGGCAAACACAAGCCCGCTGTATTTGGGAATCAAACGCACACAAGGCGGTGGTTGGACCATAGTCCGCTCCACACTGAGTGCATGGAACCACCCTTCGAGCCTAACACTGCCACAAGGACCGTGCACCCCGTCCCCTCCAACAACGACCAACTGTCTCCTGGAGCCAGTGTGGACGAGGTAGTGGGTAATACACAGGTATGCACCTTGTCAACATGCACATCAAGCGCAGTCACACTGGGGAGATCATGCAACAGCCAATCACTTGCGCGAAATATAACAAAGAAAATAACTCGATTAATGCATAAGGAAACCGTGACCTAAGTCTTAAATTAGTGAGCATATGAAATAAGTTGTTTACAAAAGAATCCGAGATAAGTTCACGAGCTCAGAAAGTGTAATTTATGGAAATGCCACAAACACAAGCATGTTATCGAAATTAACTACAGTTGGCTTAAGCGAGGTGTGCAAGTTTATAGAAGTGAGTACTAGTAGACATTTATATGAGAAAGAAAGGCATTAGGACAAGTTTGCAAATCTACCAACTGAAATAAATAGACTTAGCCTGCAAGCACGCAGTTAGTAAATCGAATGCAGCGTACCTACAAATGCTGCGCTGATTCTGCCTACGTTCTCTTCAGGACCCGTCGTCGCTTCGGTAATGGTCCCGAGTGGCCTCGCTCACGGCTCACTAAGCCTGCCTGACTCAGGCACTCGCGACCTCATGTGCTACAGCACCATGCACTCGATGTCGATGGAGTACAACCCATCGGTGCTTGCCGCTTCCTCTCTGCATTTATGAGGTCTTTCTTCCGCACTTCGGCAACTGCCTTCGTGATTAGATCGCGCCATGCACGCCGGTCAACCGCCTTCGATTCCCATGACCTACAATCAAGAATGTATATATATATATATATATATATATATATATATATATACATATATATACATAACCATCAGCGCTCCAGGAAATATACATGAGGCTTTTCGCGATCATGAAGTTATAGGTGCAATTTTCATAGAAGGAGAGCGCAACCTTTTATCCCTTTCACACACCGGCTATTTCATTTTGTCCTTTTCATTGTTTGAGGCGTTTAACATTTACACAAGCCGCTTCTTCCAAGTGCGAGCTCTATCTTCTCTAGTTAAAAAGACGCGCGAATCTAACGGCGGCTAGAGGCCACTTTGGTGACTCCATCTGTTGTCACCACGCAGTTTGCTCCCAACCACTCATGCACGAGCAACTAATGCGCGGTGTGGTAAACGCTTGCGTGTGCTATACATAGGACGGGACCCCAGCCATCTCAATAAGCACAGGAAAAGCAGCCTTTTGAAGGGATACTCACATTCCCCAAGGCATGACTTCTAACCTCATCACTTTGAACTTGGTGTTGCTACTAAACACGAACGATGCTCAAACAACCATTGGCAAATGTGAAAATCCAACGCATGTCATCCTCGCAATGTGACCGAAACTCGCCTGCCTAAAAACACTGAGCGAACAGAGTTGTTGTAAGCCATGTCACTTGTTAAGGTGGCGACCTCTTGACGGTGTCACAGTTGCCTCCAATCGATAAGCGCCAACCGTAGCTTGGCTATGCACACGGGAACCTCTTTCTCTATTAGTGCCGCCAGCAGAAGCAGCTCCCATTGTTGTACACGCATCACCACGCGTCACCCACCACACACTCACGCATTCTGCACCCTGTTAAATGTTTGGATTGACAGCTGTCGGTTTCCAGCAACATATGCACAGACTGAGTTCGTCACTTACTCGAATACACTTCCTTGCGCTTATTATGTGCGGATTGTTCGCCTTCCGTTCATGTGTGTACGACGCGGCTTACAGGGACCGAGTTGTAGATGTACCTAGCTCGTTGATTACGGCACCATATAGGCGTCAACTAAATCAGCCAGATGGCTTAAATTGTAGCAACACATTCCAAGAAATTGTTCAACTTCAGCTACATTATGCGTAATGGATACACCTGTTTTAGCCTTAGTGTTTGCGGTGCATGGTCGGATTTCACCGGAAGATACACATTCGTCAGGCTGCGGAATGCGTGGATACATTATTGGAGAGGGGACTATCGTTGGCACGTATACAGGACAGGTAAAGCAAACTCCATGTTCGAGCTGTGAACCTTCAATGGTGAATGGCCAATCCTGGGGCAGCACTACACTTCTGTGGGGCGAAGGACATGCTATACCCACAAGGTCCTGGTTGCACACGTGTCAGAACGATAAAAGTAGAAGTTCATCACATCTGGACTCAGTGAGCTAGCCATCACACACACTTGCCGATGCACTGTACAGCTGTTTCATCCTTTCGGGAATCATCAGCAATGTGCATTCCATCTGGTCCTTGTGGGCCTAGTACCCGCAACCCGACTTTTACCAGTCTATGGTGAAGATCACTGGCTACGGTGACGGTAACAACCGATGTGGCTAAAAGATGTGCAATAGGGCAGCTCACTATCAACTGACTTGCATGTTACTGCTTTGCAAAGGACAGTGTAGACTGT